ATTTTCATCTTGAGTTTCATTGCAGGGGTTATCATCTATGAGTGGAAGAACTGTCCCACTGTAGATGTCACAAAAGGTTAGGTGAATATTTAATTTATGTAGTGTTTACAGCAGGGGTGGAAACCCCGTTCAGATGGCAGAACAGATTTCCCCTTCCTCCCAACATCCCATGAACTGGATGTTGTCAATTTGTCCATGAACCCCTACATCACAGGCTCCATGGTTGAAACAGTCAAGAAGTACCAATTTCATTCTCCCACCACCACTCCAATTCAGACAAGATTGCGATCACAATTAATCTTTTTACTAAATGAGGCATTGAGTTAAAATTGGAGAAGGGGATATTGTAAAGAATGTGTCCCTTAAGTGTCCTGATTAAATATTTAATTCATAGTTCAAATTGTTTGAAATTATGGAAGGTGCTGAAATCTTGGCTTCTCTCTCATTCAGCCACTTCTCCCTTTACAAAAAATCCTGTCATCTATAATAATAATATTATATTATAATAATGAATGGTCTAAATCCAATTGCTAGTCTCAGTTAAATTAGACCTATTGGATCAATTGTTGAATTGTAATTCAGCATTTACATAAATACATAAATTCATTCAGTCTACTCTAGTTGGGACTAGCACTTTGATGTAGGTCACTAATCCCAGCATTATGTTCCATGGTGCTACATTTCTTTGCCAAGATGCCAAAGTGAAATTAAACCAGTTGAGTCCTTCGTAGACTTCTGCTGCACTGATGCTGTTATTCCCATTCACTGTACCTCTTTGTCACTGCCATTTTGAAAATAATGAGGGAAGAATTCACTTTTCTATGTTCATTCTCACAAAAGTCTATGTGTACAGTGAAAGATTTTGGGTTGGGGCCAATGTGAGCACATCCTCATATTTTTACTTTTACTCCTTTTTTGAAAGGGGGAACCTTAAACCGTACAAAATGATAGCATAGTACTGATTTGTGAATCTTAGGTCAACTGTTAACACTTGCAAGTAATTGTTTTTCCACTCACTCAGATCATCTGCCTTTGAAGTGGAGAACAGCAAGGTGATTTGGAAGCCAAATAACTTACTTTGTGAAATGTAGGCACTTCTGTTAAAATGCTGCTGTGCTATTCTTTTACACAGTAATTCAGATTATTAGGCTATGAATTGCCTAAAATAGTTCTTGAGGTTAATACATATTTTGAGGTTAATACATACAGTTGATTTCAACAAGAAAATTAGCAGGGTGAGACTCACTTGCTTAGCTGTTTGAGTAAGTCATTTCCAAGTTTTTAAGTGTTTTGTTTTTTGTTTTTGTTTTTAAAGTTTTTAAAGTATTCTTTTGTCCTCAGATCCAGAGCCATTCATTCTCTTGGTTGTGTAGTTAAGTGTGTGGATTTGTTTTTTACAACTTTCTCTGAAATTTGTAAAACACTGTTATGCACATAAATGCAGCACTGTGATCTAATTTAAATAACTTTATTGTTTATATGAATATGAATTAATACTTTGCTACAGTGATAACCTTCCGCCAACCTTGGGCCATCTCCTTGCTTTCTACTGTAGAGGATTAAAAGCTGTCATGAACAACACCATTTTGTTTTTTCCTATAAATCAGTCTGTTGTTTTGCTTGTGTTTTTTAAAAGTTGGATTTTATAAGTATTTCCAGAATATTCTGTGCCACCATCTATATGAACCTTATTCCTGTTCTTGTTACAGCCCTCTCCTCCCACTTATTTTTGTTCTTGGTGGGAATAAGGTATCCTTTTTGATACTCATTATCTTAAATTAAAGCACAGAATCATACATGCAGTTGCTTTCCAATGCTAATTCTATCAGTGCAATCCTTCAACAGCTCAACAAACAATTTGCTTCACTGCTCCCAACTCCTATACTTCACGTCCGCAAAAGAATTCTTTTAATAAACCTTGTCTATGGTGCTGTATTTTGTTGGTCTGCTTTTAAAATCACAAAATAAAAATTTAATGCAGACTTATCCATGAATCATTTCAAGCCACCAGCTCCTCTTCCTCTTCTTCTTTTTCCTCTTCTTCCTCTAATTTTTAGTCTTTATTGACACTATTCCTGTTACTCATATATATGTATTATCTAAAATAATTTTTCTTTTCACTGTACTGTATTTGCAGATAAATTCAGGGGGAAATGTTTAATTTTCTTGCAGTTCTGCTAAAACCAGGGAAGTGATAAGACCCCACTGAGGCTGCATCGACACTACAGAAATAATCCTGGTTAACACCACTTTGACTGCTATGGCTCAATGCTATAAAATCCTGAGAATTGTAGTTTGTTGTGGCACCAGAGCTGTCTGACAGAGAAAGCCAAATGTCTTGCAAGACTACAGTTCCCAGAATTCCATAGCATTGAGCCACAACACTTAAAGTCGTGTCCACCTGGATTATTTCTGCAGTGTGGATGCAACTTAAGCCTTCAGTCCAAAAGAACACAAAAGCAAGAACAAGGGATTCTCCAACATACTGTTTTTAAAAGAAGTGGGACACTCACCAGTCAGGTTTTTATGGGGCAGCAGGAGTTGAATCTAGCCACTTCCCCCACCCAGACATCAAATTTGTAAAAATAAAATAAAATAAAGTTTTATAGAAAGACAGCACAAAAGTATGATCCTGGCTATTGAATGGGGAGATACGCACACACACACACACACACACACACACACACACACATATACACTTTCCTACTGAGGGGGGTCAGGGCATTTATATTACTGTTTACCAATACCTTTTACGAAATCATTGCTCCTTATCTAGATAATAACTAATATAGCTGGTTCTCCCCCCCCCCCCCCCCGGTTTCCTATTGAGAATGAGAATTTCATGTGTTTTATAAAAGATTCATTTATTACCTTCTTCCCCCTCCACCCCAGGTTTTATCTTTGGGGGGGAAATTGTTTCTGTTTTCACTTCTGTATTATACACACTCACTACTTCACTCTGCCTTGGTGTCAGATGTTGGAAGGGACGGGGTTAGGGGATGATTTCTGTGTGTATGAAAAGCATTATGAACTTGTACATTTTTATACTCTTCTGTAATATTTTTGAAATATTTTTGTTCTGCAGAAAAAGTGATGAAGCAATCAAAAGACCAATAAGTACAATATCAATGCTTTAGAGGTCATGAGACCTTCACTGGCCAATAGGTTAATTTAGTGCAGCAATAAGCCATTTTTCCTTTTCCCCCCCCTCCCGTTTTTTTTGTTTTAATTCCTGTTTTTTAAAAAATGCTGTACTAGGGGTGTGGAACTGCCAGTTTCATTCACATACAGTGAGAACTGTGATGGGGATATAAACAGTGATGTTCAGTTGTATTTGTGTTTACCTAAATGAGCAGTAAAAAGGCAAGTGCAATCAGCCAGAAATATGGGGAAAAAAGTTGATCTAGAGGCATACTTGCATTTTGCGTTTCTTGATGTGTAATCATATTGCCAAAGACAAACTCTTTCATCAGTTATTATTGTAAATAACACTTTCCCAAAACCTACCATAAAGTTTCTGTGATGTATTGTCTTCCAGTTGCAATAAAAATTACTGAGTTGCATCAATTGAATAATTGCACTTTTGGTTAATGGCTTTTATTGTTTCGTTTATTTCAAGCATGTTCGCAGCCCTTCTTTGAGACAGGCAATGCTACTGAAGTAGCTGCCTGATTAAAAAAAATTCTTACAGAATAAAAATTATCCCAAGAAATAGCTGAAATAAATAGTCCAAACAAGAATGACCTGAGGAAATTATTCCAGCTTCGGATGCATCTGAACTGCAGAATTAATGCAATTTTGATACAGCTTTAACTGCTATGGCTCAGTGCTGTGGAACTCTAGGATTTGGAGTTTTGTGAGAGATTTAGCTTTCTCAAAGAACTCTGGTGCCACAGCAAACTACAAATCCCAGAATTCCATAGCCTTTAGCTGTGACAGTTAAAGTGGTATTAAACTACTTTATTTCCCCAGTGCAGAACCAGCCTTTGACTCGGGGCCTGAGCAGACAGGCCATGAAAGAACAGGTTGAGCCCATGCTTTCCTGGCCCCGGTGCTCACCCAGGTTGGTCCCTGGATCGGCAAGTCATGGCCCGGTTTTAACACATACCCGTCCCCATGCTGACCCAGGACCGACATGCCACTCTTTACCTTGCCAGCCATCGATCTAACTGACAAGCTGCCCAGTCACCGCATCTGATCCAGATATGGAGTGCCTGGCTGCACCCACATGACCAGGCACCGTTTCCATGTTAGATGCAGTGACAACATGAGAATTTATTCTTGGGTCTATTTACTCTTAGAATCTGCCTTCATAGTTGTGCTCCTGTGCTTGTGGCTAACAGGACCTTGTATTATGCTCTTTTCCCTATTGCTAAGATGACATTATATTATTTGTATGCCCTATTTACCCCCCCCCCCACTGCTTAGACAATACAGGTATGGATATAGCAGGGCCCTCCCTGGTATCAATTGCTGCTCTTAACATTGATTTAGAAAACACACCAGTTCCTCTGACTTACCAAAGCACAATGTATTCTCTCAATAGAGCCACTTAAATGAGTAACAAGCAAAAGCAAGAAACAAGTCATTGACTGCAAACCCATGCTGAGCCTGGCTTTTTTTAAGTGGATAACAAGAGGGTATTTTCTCTAATTTCTATTCACCAAATATTGCTCAGAACCTTAGATTCCTGCAGTACTGTGGCTATATGGCAAGTACTGCCCACATTAATCCCCCTCCAGAGGTGTCAGATCTCTCATAGCCAGCATAATAGCATTGTGTTGTACTATATCAGCTTAGTTGCATTCCATTTTTCCCCCAAACCTGGGGCTCAAGACAACTTACAAGATAAAAGCCAAATAAAAATGCATATAAAGATACTGTTTAATCATACAAAAGTTTATGTTTACAATGCCATTGATCTGTCTATAGTTTTAAGACCATTTAAAATATATCCATATAAAAGAGAGAGATACAAAAAAAAGTAGCACATGCTAGAGGGTCAGTGTGGTATAGTGGTTTGAGCACTGGACTACAACTCTGGAGACCAGGGTTCAAATCCCCCCTTGAGCATAAAAAATCACTGGGTGACCTGGGGGAAGTCACACTCTCTCAGCCTCAGGATGATAATAATAATAATAATAATAATAATAATAATAATAATAATAATAATAATAATAATAATAATAAATTTTATTTATATACCGCCCGGTGGTGAACCAATCTAGGCGGTTTACAAGGCTAAAATACAACTTAAAATAGTATAACTCCCTCCCCCCCTTAAAAGTCAATTAAACCACCTATCAATTAATCCCCTCTGAAGAAACATGCCAAGAAAGCCTTAGGGTCACCATAAGTCAAAAATGACTTGGAGGCATACAACAACAACAGCACACTAAGGAAAAACCCTTTCCTTGAAAAATAGTCTATTCTCCAAAACCTGTTTGAATAAAAGGACCTTGCATTGAAAGCATAGCAACGAAGGGGGCCAGTCTAGCCTCCCAAGAAAGGGAGTTCTAGAACCAGGGAGATTCCACTAAGAAGACCCTTTCTCACATTGCTATGTATATATGTAGGTGGCATGACCAAGAGAAATGCCTCCTCTGAAAATCTCAAAGCTCAGGTAGGCTCTCATGGGAGGATGCTGCCTTTCAAATAGCCTGCATCTGGCTATCTGGGGGAAATACTTTTATTTAATTAGAACCAGCAAAAGGATTTTCTATTAAACTCATACACACCATCTTTGGCTCTGTTACCACCCTCTCATTCTGAATGGGTTTATTTTCCAAAACATGGACTATAAGCTCTGATCTGAACATACAGAGCCATCAGCCTGGTACTTGTAGAGTTCAGCAACTAACACCTCTCTTGGCTTCCTGTCTGTGAACATGTAAGATGTTGTTGTTAACTGCCCTTGAGTCAATCTGGACCCATGGCAACCCTGTGGATGAGACATCTCCAAGACTCCCTGAACTCCACTGTTCTGCTTAGTTTCTGCAAACCCATGACTTAATAGAGTCATAATCTAGCATGCAGCCTTCCTCTCTTTCTACTTCACCTTTCCTAGCATTATATATTATAATCTCAATAATCATCATCATCTTACTTAATAATGACCACAGAGAATCTACAGAAATTCAACCTAGACAATGAAGAAATAGAAATAATAAAAGAGTTCTCATACCCGGAGTCGCACATTGATAGGAACAGGGACCATAACCAGGAATTCAGAAGAAGATGGGGAAGGTGGCTATGAAAGAACTAAAAAAGATCCTAAAGTGCAAGCGATATACAATTGAGCACAAAAGTTAGAATCATACAATCCATTGTATTTCCTATGGATAAGAGTGCTGAGGATCCCATGGACAGCCCAAAAGATAAATGTGTCCTAGAGTAGATCAAGCTGGAAATCTCCCTAAAAGCCAAGATGACAAAACTGAAGCTGCTGTACTTTGTACATAATCATGAGAAGGCACTGTGTGTGTGTGTGTTAAATAAGATACTTGCTTTTAATTCAGATCACTGGGAGCCAACCTGTGATGTCAAATGGAGTTGGCAAATCTGTGGCATACCTGCAGAGAACAATAAGGAGACAAGCTCCACATGCTCTGAGATGGTCCAGTGTTTATTCTTTTTTTTTTTTTAAGCCCAATGTGTTTTGGCCCCAGCCTTCATTTCTCACCGAGGCCAAAACATGTTGGGCTTTAAAAACAACAACCACAATCAAATAAACAGTTGACCATCTCAGAGTGCATCAAGCTTGTCTCTTTACTGTTTCTGGCCTTGAACGTGCTTTTCAGTACTCTTTTCAATACCTGTAGACAAGTCCGGTTTGGGTACCTACTCTATAGAATACAATAGTTAAGCTTTTACTCTTGCATGCCTTTCTATGCATCTGTCATGTCCTACCTGGAGGAGATCTTCTCAGAGGAGGAGGAAGGGGAAGATGTGGGCCCAGATATCAGGTTCCGGTCAGATCCAGAGGAGGCATATCTTGGAAGCAGAGACCAGACTCGCATGCCTTTAAAGAAAAGAAGTTGGAGGCTGAGCTACTTCATCCCTTCAAGCATCACAGACTAAACAACAGCACAGGTAAGATAAGAACAGGTAAGAACAAGGACTTCCTTCAAAGGCAAATTCTGGGATATTTAGGCCAATTGTGCTGAGTTATAGCCCGATATAAACTAGAACATCCAAGGCCATTTTTGTGCTACATAACAACACCATGGCCATTGTGACATTCCCTGCTCTCTAGTTACCCAACCTTCAGCTTGCTGTATGGGCTGGTGTTTTGTTTTGTTTTGTTTTTTGGTAATTACCTGATTTGCATTTGATTGTACTTGGACTCTTCTTTGTGCTTAGACCAGAACTGCTTCAACCACTCTTCTATTACAGACCCACTGTGTATGATGACCCTGTTAACCCTTTTAAAGGGAAACTAAAATATCCAGGTATGAAAGTTAAAATTGTTAGAGTTCAACTTTCATCAGCAGAATAACGAAAGTTATTCTATTATTTTAAATCTGTCTTCCGAAAGAATAAGGACTTACTCCAAAAGAAAAACAACAAACATGCAGTTTGTCGTTTAAAAACAAATAATAATGACTTTAATAAATAAATACATAAAAAAACCTAAATCCTATCCTAACTGGTGATGGTTTGGGTAAAGAGAAGAAATCTCACCATATTTAGATAGCAGGAAGAAACAACAACACACTGCTTACTGACTGCTGACTGCAGTTACTAGCAGTGTAGAATCTTGGGAGAGAGCTGTTAAACTGTCTCCAAGAGGCAGTGACCAAAATCACATGATAGTTAGAATGAGAAAGGGGGGAGGGAGGAAGTCCCTATCTAACCAAGAAGGGTCAGGGAAATGCAAACATTCCAACAGTCTTTCTACCTTGTTTCTCATTTAACTACATTAGAAATCACAGCAAGGGGCAATTGTATATAGATAGCTCACAGTGGCAAGATCTCATATTACACTTTGTACAAGACACTCTCCCTCCCCATAAAAGGATTAGATACTACCAATCTCAGTAATCTGTTTTTTAACACTAGATGCCTTCATGTTTCTGAATGTATGATGAAGCAAAATACTACTCTAGAATTGGAGGTTGGGGGATGAAGGAACAAGCCTTTCAAAGGGAGAATAAGAGCAATAAAAATGATGTTGGACTGCAGCTCCCATCAACCCCAGCCAGCACAGCTAATGGTGAGTTATTATATGAGTTTCAGTCCAACAAGAAGTTACCTGTTGAACAGAAGCAATCAACTGAATTTTGACAGGTGTGCCAAAATACTACATGTCTTTCCATTTTCAGATTTTTTTCAAAGAGGACCTAGTACACAGTACACAATTCTAGAGCTATTATTCCACTTTGCTATAGTTTCTTCCATATAATGGGGTTTATAGTTTGGTAGAGCACTAGAGATCTCTGGCTGAGAATTCTAAATGTTGCTCCATAAACTGCCAATCCCAGGACTCCACAGCATGAAACTGTTAGAGTTGAAATTATTATTATTATTATTATTATTATTATTATTATTATTATTATTATTATTATTATTATCCCGCCCTTTGGGAACCCAATCAGGGCAGCTTACAACAGTTAAAAAGATACATAATACCCAAAACAACCCTTCCCCCCTTAAAACAGAATTAAATCAAAAGGGATTAAAACAATAATTCCAACAATATAAAATTTAAAAACACATTTAAAAAGAGATATAACAAGGCACGGCTTGACCAGCGGCAATGATCTTCATCCATCAAGATGAACAATAATAGTGGTATTGTTGTGTACTGTGAATAGACCCTTGGTCTTGTTCTACTCGGTGACCACCTACCCATGCTCTGTGCTAGCCCCCGGCCTCAGATCCTGCTTCTTAAACACCTACTTCTGGAATGATTCACTGTGTTATCTCCATCCTCACCAAAGGTCCTGCTTATTGGACTACAACTTCCATTCGAGCACTACCACTACCACTATGTTTCAGCACTGATGTCAAAATTGTAGTGTGGATTTATCCCACCTACTGTTCAAAAAAGTCAGCTGGAGGGGTGATGTTGGTAATTTGAGTTCTTTTCTCACTGGTCCTGGTCCAGCACTCAAATCACTAAGCTCAGAACCTGGAAAAATGGAGGCTGGGGTTGGGGTTGGACATTACACTCAGTGGCCATGGCCTGTGGAAGATTTTGGAAGCTGTAATAGACAACTAAAACACCATGCTCCTTAGTGCTTATACTCAGTAGCAATAACTCAAATGACTGCCACAGGTAGCTAGCTATCTTTAAAAAAATATTAAGCCATTTGTCCACCTAGCTCAGTACTATTTACTTTTCCATGTATTGCTCTTCAGGGTTTCAGATATGTCTATCACAGCCCTGCCTAGAAATGCAGAGTGGAGCTGAGACCTTCTGCATGCAAGTCCTATGCTATCCCACCTGAGGTATGTATGACCTTTCTCTTGTCTCCTCTGGTGGCTTTGTTGCATCTTTAGACTTTCTTTCTGATAAAACAAATAGAAAGAATACTTGTCAGTTGTCTCTTTCTCTGTTTAGAAGTATTTTCAGTAACTAGTACCCATTAGCCATGAGACAGAATGGAAATCTATCAAAATAAAAATAGAATCTGTGTGCCTTTCTGTGGCAGCCATAATTCATCTCACTATTTTATTATTATAGACTAGTTGAGAGGTAAATAGCATTGCCCAGGTCTGTACCTAATGGGATTTCTGTTGTCCCATTCCCCATTTTTGTCTCAATAATCTTAGCAGCAGTGCTTTACAGAAAACCTCCTTCATCATCCCAACCTTTTTTCACCTCAAGAATCTAAGTAGCAGTACTAAGTGACATAGCACTGCTCATGTAATACCCCGAATCGGGTAATGGGCCCTTCAAAATTGGACCCCATTTTTTTTAGACCCTCTGTCATGATGTCCCAGTTAGGGCTGCCAGAGTGAAAATTGGAAAAGGCTCCTGCCGTTACTTGTTGTGCAGCACAATGTAGGGAGATGCCTTGCAGACCTGATTGTTTTGAATGGCCTAGTGTTCTTGATTCTCAATTCTG